AAGAAAGAAAGAAAGAAAGAAAGAAAGAAAGAAAGAAAGAAAGAAAGAAAGAAAGAAAGAAAGAAAGAAAGAAAGAAAGAAAGAAAGAAAGAAAGAAAGACAGAAAGAAAGAAAGAAAGAAAGAAAGAAAAAAAAAGAAAAGAAAAGAAAAGAAAAGAAACGAAAAGAAGAGAAGAGAAGAGAAGAGAAGAGAAGAGAAAAGAAAAGAAAAGAAAAGAAAGAAAGAAAGACAGAAAGAAAGAAAGACCAGAGGACCAAGGGACTAGCGGACCAGCGGGCTGCAGGGGACCAGCGGACCAGGACCAGCGGACCGGAGGACCGGCCACCTACACGACTGGGAATTCCAAGGGATTTCATCGCACAATGAAGATCTTTTTATTGATTCGGTAATTTTTTTTATTGATTCGATAAATATTTTTTTGATACCTATGCCTCTGGCGATCGCCCAGGCTGAAAGCAGCTGAACAGTAGAAGAAATAATAAGAAATGTTTTGTGCTTGTAGCAGGTATTTTGTATCTTGATAAATGTTCGTTGTGCGGAGCCCGACACATGCCTAACCAGCACATGCCCAAGAAACAACATAAGATATACGAACATAAATACGAACCCTTTCCTCGGACACGTTTGCTTTTCATCGTCGTTTGCCTTTCTCGATCGTTTGCTGTGAACAGGGCTTAATCTGGGGGATTTGTCAACTGGTTGCTGTTTTCATGTGTCATCATCGGGTCGGTCAGCTGGCAGTCACTGTTCGGCGGTCGAGATGGTTGGCGCAGGCGGGGATGAAAGCCACGGACCGGGGAAGAGCAGCAGCGATTGCACAAAGACTACCAGCACCCTCCAACAGGTGCTTCCTGGTCACAAGTCCGGTGCCTAGAAACTAGCAACCACCTGTTAGGGTCTCCAAAGAGCCGAACCTTGGAGGGTCCTTGTATATTTGGAGATATTTGGAGAACAATCAAAGCACTGGGACTGGCAGCACAGCACATCACAGCCAGCCGCCCACACACCCACCCACACGCTTTGAACCACCAGCCGATGTTCTCGGGGCGCGTATTCTTCCGTGCCATGTCACCCTCCCCAAGTCGGTTTGTCCAACAAACACGTGGTCGTTTTTTTTTCTCTCCAATTTTTTCCGTCGGAACTGCATGTGATTCACCGGTCAGAACGTCCATCGGTGCCCCAGCGGCGAGTTCTCGCGACGGGAGGAGCGGGGCGATGTCTCTTCTGAGGCCCAAAGAGTTGCAAGAGCATGGCCCATGAGGCCGACGAAGTGACGGCGAGAGGGACCGACTATAAGATCCGTCTCAACAGACGAGGTCAGACACACGTGTTCGATGTAGAGAAGACCCGAACTGGACAGATCTCCGATTTCTGGTGGCGACCTGGCGAGGAGCCTGGTACAGGATTTCGACATATTGCTCTAATACCATCCATGCACAAGCCCAATTAAATCATTGGTGAAGGACAAGTGAAACATGATCCCTCCTTGACACACGCGACACGCGAATTAAAATGAATTAAATCAACAAACAGGTTCAGGATGAGATTGATACCAGAGGTTCCTGATTCCTGCCCGGTTTCGAGCTTTGTAGTCTGGCCCGTGCGTCGTCGTGGGTGCCAGGTGTTGGAACGGATGTCTGCTTGGGGCATCCTGGATGGACACTCGGGACGGAAGTGACTGGAAGGGTAGGGCTGCTTGCTGAGCTTGCAGCTTGCTGTTAGGTTTGTGGAGGAAAGGGCGGGAAGTGGCGGGAGCTCGCTCCACTTTCTTTGACCCTTGTGAGTTTGAGAGTCTTTGGTGTGTGTTCAGTGACGAAGATGGAGGGAGGAGGCCTCCCAGTGATGAAGGGAGACACATGGAGACACGGAGACACAGAGTCTTCAACCCAGAGCATGATCAGAGCTGATCGGAGCTCTTCGACCAGGTCGGCCTCCAATTTCGACGGTTGAGTCACAGGACCCCATAGACTGAGGACTTGTCAAGGCCCTCACGAGTTGGAGACGCACCAAGTTGGGTGAGATGAAGCTCACTGGGCGGCCCAGTGAGATGAAGGACATGTGAGGACCCACAAAAAGAACTCTTAGTGTTGGACCCGAAGCTGGAGCCGGAAAGAAAGGTTTCGGAGTGAGTTTGCCAACCACCCAGAGGTCCTGGTGTGATGTTTTTGTTGTAACTGGATCTTCATGAGTTCAGGGTGGGCCGTGGGCCCCTAGGCCCTCGTGACGCCCCTCCCCCGATCCCCACTCTGGTGATGTTGAAAACCACCGGTTCTGAGGATCACATAGGCTGTGTGCCATTTCTCGCGCTACACTGCCACACCGCATGGGGGCTGAGTGAGGCCCGGCATAGAGGGCCAGTGCCAACAACTGCCAATGGGTGGTTGTGAGGTTCCACGTTGGCCGACTGTATAGCAGTTCACAGGGGGGCCAGACCCATCAGGTGTGGATATTGAACTGTGTAGCTTGTGTAGCAGGCGAAGGCCCGCTTTCGTGGTGGCTTTGCTTGGATCTCCATGCATCTTGATTCTTGATGTGTGCTCGGCTTATAGAGTACGTATCAAGTGGAGCATGTGCGTGAACCCTTGAAGAGGTGTCTGACAAAGATTCATCCCTGTAGTCCTGTGGAGACCCCTTAATGGGTCAGAAACAGTTAGAAGGTGCTGGTGGGAAGATTTGAGAAGTTTGGCCCTCCCAACGGTGTCTAACATTTTGCCAGAGCTCGGCCGATGGCAGCCGCCAAGCGGAGCCGCTTCCGCTGCGCCAAAGAGAGAAAGACCGCTAAGCTGGAATGACAATCATTGATGTGGAGGGAGGATGACTGGTCAGGCCACAACTCGCCCAATCATTTTGGACGATGGGGATGGGTTCGATCTCACTTCGACCCAACTCTTCCGGAGGGTTGAACATCAACAATTCCTAACAGCTTTTTGCAGCGCCTTGAAGAAAGGCATTTGCACATCAACCAACGAAATTGTGGCTTGTCCCCTGATGGCAATGAAGTTTTCCGCATAAGGACATTGATTCGATTCAGTGGAAGACCAGTGAGTGCTTTACTCTGTCACCTGAACTTGGGTCGCAAAAAGACCTGGGAGAAGACCTGCCAGCTTCAGCTTGAAGGCTGGAAACATCAAAAAACCCCCACGTCCCCCGAGGAAACTCGGGGTGTCCATGCGCTGGGTCCTGGTCCAGGTACAAAGACTGGTACGCCCAGCTCACTTCGAGCTACTACAACGGCAACGGTTATCTGAAGCGCGAGCAGCGCCCGCGTGCACCGTAGAAGCGGTCCGCAGAACGGCCTTCGATGGCGGCCTCGCGCTGCGCGAGGAACGCCATCGGGCTCGAAGGAGTCGCTTCCTCTCGGGAAATGAACTCAGGTTCAGGATTCAGGATTAAAGTGGTTCAGGGCATTGGGTAAGTTTTCATTGCTGAACTACTTTCCGTATGAGGTACAATGCCTGCTCTCTGCTATCGGGGGCTCCGGCTCCGGACGCGGGAGAGTGGTACGAAGAATGAACGAGTCTCCGACCCCACCGGACCGTGAAAAGAACTGGCCAATGTGCTGAAGAAAAAGAAGAAAGAGCTTTGACGACTGAAGTCAGGAGGTTCTTTTGGGTGGGCCATACTATTGCAGGAAGAGCAGCTTGGGGCTTTTGGGGACCCCCAGATGTGGCACGGCACGGCCTGCTGGGATGCCTTTGGGAGCAAGTGGAAGCAAGTCCTGGGAACCTGTATTGAGATTGAGAGAGAGAGAGAGAGAGCGAGAGTGAGAACATCAGAATGCCCTTTGCTTTGCTGTGTCTTTGGGGACATCTTTAGTCTTGACAATCCCTCATATGATAAGTCCTGGAGCCTGAAGCCATTCATTTAGGTGATCCTTTGCATTCCCGTGATTTCCTTCGTTGCTCGAAACCTCCGACGGGGACCCGGGCCGCTGGGCGGCTTAGCCATCGTGAAAAGCCGTTGGGCCCGAGACCAGGTGCATGTCAACCATGGCCCAGTGTTTCATCATAATTACTGTAGGTCTTCGAGCTGGGTTTTGCAGATGAGGTTGATGAGTGATAATTTTCATGGACATTGAACATTCAGTTAGTTTGATAAGCAAACCTCCTTCCACGGAAGCCTCCCTGAGCACGTCCCAAGAAACCTCTTTCTTTGCCCTTGCGCCCTTGTAAGTTCTTGTTTCAAGACAGACTCCTAGTGTCCTAGGGAGACCTTCACCCAAACATGCTGGCAAAACCAAGCAACATGATCCTGATGGTGAAAGCCCTCCACGCTCCCCACAGAGATTGTCCGGACTAGCCGCTGAACTCGACGCATGTCGGTGGGACCTACAGTTGAGCTCCTTGGCGAACAAATGGCCCACAGGCAATTCATGTATCATTATGGCCCAGAAGTGAAGCACGACACTTGTTTCCAAAAAAGCGAAGTGAGTGACTACCAGGTGGCCAGGCAGTGGCCGTTTCCCTGCTGCGACAGCCATGCAGTGCCCCATGCTATGAAGGTGAGAGCTGCACACCCCCAAATCCTGCCTCTGAATCGCCACATGACTTATGCGTATAGGATTAACTAACTCGCTGGTGGTTAGGAGGGAGGGATTCGGAGCCAGAGGTATCCATCTTCCCCTTTCAACAGGGAGTTGTTGAGCAAAGAGAACTGGAGGTTCCCCAACCAGTGGCTAGTGACTTTGCCATGACCGAGAAAACACCGGTTCCTGTGGTGCTGGTGGAGAAAAAGACCAGGGAGAACATCACTGAAGGTGTTTTGCATTAGGGAGAGCTTCCTCCAGACCTCCTGGAAGCAGGATGAAGGTTCGGGAACCAGACCACCACCCAGCCAAGGTCAGGGGGGTCTTCCTATTGAACTACACACCCAGGGTCGTCGTTGGATCGGACGCTTGGACGGACAAACGCGCCCAGGTTGGATCGCGCCTTCCGCGGGCATCGCGGGCCGGTCACCTGTGTGGCCTATCATCCAGAGGAGCAACAGGCGCCGTTCTGCTTCACGGGCGCCACGTGCGCGTGTCGCAGCGCGTGAGGCATGTCCTAAGAACATCTAATAAGTGGGTTGATGCATAGAGGAGATATAGCCCCTGGGCCCTATCATCATGAACATGAATGGGGATACATAGTAGTATACATGATACATATGGTACCAAATTACATCGACCCCCTTTATTCTTCCCCAGTCAGGACATCCGTCGATGACTTGTCCACCTGTGCAATGGTGGGGGGGTGCGGGCTTGAACAAGCCCGACCAACAAGGTCGTTTGTGTCGGCAGCGAACCAGTTGAACCGAGAGTTTCGATGATCTACGCATCTCAACCAAGGGCCCCAGCCGATCATGTGCTCAAGTACCAGGGGCCCGACAAACCATCCAAAACCTGGTTTTTGTATGTGAAAACCCTGGTTTTTCCTGGTTTTGAGGGCCCCTGGTAGTTAATGTCTTGTGCAGGCGGCCTCTTTCAGTCGTGAACGAATGAGCGACATGACTTCCACCTCATTCGCTGGCACTACCGAAGCAGCAAGAGAAGGATCAAGCTATCACAGGCCGTCCGGTATGCAGTGCATGCCTGTACCGGAAGATACACCATCTTCCGCCTAGTGTACGACACTGTACACTACACATTTTTTTGATCAGAACAAACACAAAGTCTGAGGTCCCACGCCCATGACCCCGATAAATTCAATGAAGCAAATGACCGGCTTGTGAAGTGTGAGTTGGACGATTTTGAAGAATTGGTCAAGTTCCATTGACTTTCTGGTGAAAGAAAGGGTCTCATATGCTCTCATATCAACACACAACTATAGAGGAACACCATGATTCAACATCATGTGACCCATGATTCGCCACACGACCCGGATGTCAACTTTCCCTGAATTCATCCACTTCCAGATCAAAAATCGTCCCACAACGCCCCCGCAACTATCGTCCCTTTCCAGGTGGTCTCGGGCTCGCAGGATGGCTGCCTTTTCGTGGGGGCACCCGGGCACTGTTCGTCCCAGGACCCTTGTGATGGACTTTCTGGTGGACGGAAATCAAATGAACGGACATCGAGCTCGTCGGATGACGAAACAGAATTCAATTACCAAACTAGACGACGAGTGGCCCGAAAGCATTTTTCATCACGTAGGAAGTCAGAGTGTGAGTTAAGTGTTCAGTGTGAAGTGTTAAGTCGAGTGAGTTGAGGCAGTGTGTGGGTCTCTGTGTGTGTGTGTATCAATGTCTGTGTGTGTATGAGTCTCTGTCTGTGACTCCGAGTA